ATATGTGCCTTCCCCAATGCTCTTTCGGAGGCATTTTTTGACAAATGCCATTATACTAAGGAAGCATAATTCTTTATCTTCATTACACGAAAAAAGTCAAATACATTTTAATTATGATAAAGTTGTCGCGGCTATGAAGAAAGAACGTCTTAACTCGAAGACTACTTGCAATCTTCCACTTCCTAATTTTAACTATTCAAACTCTGCGTCATATCTATTTTCTAGACCGTTCCTTAGCAGAGGATGGCTTTTGGATCAGCTTTCAAAGTTAAATAACCCTACATTTTCAAAAAATGACGAAAGATGTTTTTTTATTATTGGAGGTCAAGGAACGGGAAAGACAACCTTTTGTCACCATATTCTTAATATGCGTGCAATGTTGCACTCTTCTGATTCTAACCAAGAAACATTGAAAACCGAATTTAAACTTCCAAAAAGATTAGCAGCCTTTCATTTATGTAAAGTTAATGAAGCTGCGACGCTTAGTCTTTCTAAATTTATTTTGTCAATAAAAGATCAGTTTCTTAACAGCAATGGGTGGTTTTCAAAGTCCTTTGCCAAACATTCTCAAACCCACGAAAACTACGATGGATTATTTTCTGCTCAAAATCTATTTTATTCTCCTGATTCTGCATTTTTTGAAGGAATAGTCAAGGTGCTATTATCCATGGACCAACAAGCTCCACCATTTCTTCCCCCACGTGATTCGCATGAATATAACAAGGTGGCTTCAGAATGCTCCAGTTCCTTTTCATTCTTTAAATCAGTTGGGAAACTATTCATTTTAATAGATTCTATTGATGCTACTTTGTTAAATTCTCCTATTAAAGATGAGCAACATAAAAATATACCCGCTTCATTACATAACTTCCAAAAAAGCGACAGTTTATCTATATTAGAATCATATGTATGCAAGCAGCCAAGTCAAAACATTGCAGAATTATTGTCCAACTTTATGAGTATATTGCCTTCATGGATTGGGTTCATTTTTACCTGCCGAAGAGAAGGAAGTGATAAGTTGTTTAAACTTTTTCCACTAAATAAAAAAATATATCTAGATGATTCAAGAAAACCTGAAGTAAACCGTGATATTTGCCATTACACTGCCTTTCGCACGGCTATGCAACCATCCTTACGCAAACACCTAAACAGTGAAATTGGGCTTAGAGCAATTAAACTACTTCAATTCAAATGCAATGCATGCATCCTTTATGTAGAAAAGATACTTGATGCATTGGCAGAACAATGGATAACAGTGCAAGAATTATCTTCTATACCGGAAAATTTAAATGGCCTTTATGGTTGGCTATGCCAAAGAGTATTTTCTGATAGAATGATGAAATCATCGCATGGACTCAGGCAGCTTGAGTGCAATGTCAGCTTTACTGATGTTCGTCCCATTTTTAACATGATTTTGGCATCTCCCTGGCCTCTCACCTGTACTGAATTATATTCTGCCTTAAATTATTATGAACCTAGTCTTTCAAAAAAACATTTTTTTGAGCGGATCGACATTTTAAGCAAATTGTTCTTTTTAAATTTATGCTCAAATTACAAAGATAATGGATCTCATGATGTTTTGATACTTCACCAAAGTTTTGCAGATTGGCTTCTTGATGTTAAATATTGCACACAATCTTATCTCTGCTCGATCCCAGAGGGCCACGCCATCTTAGCGTTCTCAATGCAGCGTAACATAAGTAAGGCTACTAAGCCTGAAGATGTAAGAAAGTTTGCTTATCATGTTGCTCAAAGTCGAAATGCACTTCCGAATCTGAGATCACATCATATTCTACTTTGGCTTCTACATAGTGGCGCAAATATATCTTTTCTTCCTCCATTGCCAATATCTCTGGAGAAGCCAATCAAAAATAATTCAAAGAATGCTGATAATGCTATTGATGATCATCCTATAAAACTTTATTCCAGCCCAAAACACATTGTTGAACAGGAAAAATCGAATAGTATGTCCCTTGAAAATATAAATGTTGCTTCTGAAAATACTTCAAATCTCATAACTAAGCATTTGGGGGGCCTCAATAATGAGATAACCCTATCTAAAGATCTAAATAATGAATTTCAAATTGGGCTGGATTTTGATGCTACACAACTCCTAATTTTATCTGCTCGTAAAGGCTCTAGAGATGTTGTTAAAGAACTCCTTTCAAGGAACGCCGATTCAAATGGTATTGATTCAGAGGGATGGTCGGCTCTGCGTTCTGCTTCATGGGCTGGACATTGTGGTGAGTTCCTTAGGAAAAGGTTAAGGCTTTGCTGAAGGATTCGTTTGCTAACTAGTAATTTCCTAGTTTCGTCCAGATCCATGTTCACAATAAGCATAAACCTATATTTACTCAGTCTTTCAAGCATGCCTATTTATGGATAAAGGGAAGTTTAAAAATTGTCAAGATCATCTAATCCAGGCATCAACTGGCGCTAAGGCTTTACTCAATAAGTCAAACTCAAAAGTCAGATATATGAAACCCCAAAATTCCCACGATATTACATTCTGATATCGGCTCTATAATTTTTTCATAAAATCTTACACCTTAATTTTATCAGTTTGAGCCTCCTTTATTCCCTTAATTTATTTGATTATTATAAACACGGATCTTTCCTATCTCACCTGGCGTAGTTCGGAGGGAATTAGCCACATTGTTTTATGGTATTTCTTTTAGGAATCAAGAAATTTTTAAATTGTGATGGGAAATACTAATATTGCTTGATTGTCATTGTGTCGATATATATATGTATATATATATATATATATATGACAATAGGCCTTGATGTTCCTATTATTATTTTTTTATTTCCTATACTTCTATTTTGTGCTGTACACATGCCATTTGATTTGTAATGCCATATATACAGATTATTTTTATAATTATACGTTAATATCGTATTTCAGACGATTTTTTAAAACAATTCATCTAGACTGTAAAAAATCAAAAATTTAACTAATGTAGACTATCACTCCCAGCCTAATGTGTAAAATCAGTATACTATTTCCTCATGAGTTGTGACAACATTCATTTTTCAACATATCCACTTGTTTAAGT